AAAATGAATTACAAAACTGCTTGTGAAGTGGCATGTGTTATAGTACAAATATTTTATCCAATTTTCCTAATAATTTCTAAGTAAATTGTTAACTTTTAGAAATTGCTGATCTTTGCTTTATCGTGAACCAGTGTGGGGAAGGGGAGCGAACCAGTGTGGAAGTGGTGGGGATTGAGGAAAATACAGCACAAGAGAAGACAGAAGATGGGATCGTGAGGTCTGACTGAGCTGATGGCTACAGCCAGCACCAAAGCACACAAAATCGGCTTTATTTTATAGCAGGGATTCTCAACTGTTTATTTTATAGCAGTGGGTCATGACCAATGAAAATATATCCTGCATATCAGATATTTACATTAGGATTCATACCAGTAGCAAAATTACAGTTATGAAGTAGCGATGAAAAATAATTGTATGGTTGGGAGTCACCACAACATGAGGAACAGAATTAAAGGGTCATGGCATTAGGAAGCTTGAGAACCACTGTTTTATAGTATCTCAACAGGGTTGTCCATAGACAAAAGACATATATTTGGTCTTACAGTATGATTGGAAAATGTACAAGACTTTAATAACGATAATCATCCTGTCAATGGTTTCTACTCAACTTCATTAAAATATGGTAAAAAGTGAAAAGGGAAAGCTTACAAGGATCTCTGCATAGTTCTTAAAAATTAAATAGACAAAGAAAGAGCTGGGTGACTTCTGGCAAAGGAAGCACAAAGAAAAGAATACGACTGTTTGGGGAAAGGAGGAGAAGCAGTGGAAGTTCATTCCCTGCATGGTCCCCAGGTTGTAGGGGGGGCTCCCACCTCATAGCCTGCTCTCCACATTGCTTGAGACAGATGCCACTCACTACATGATGTTTGCGGGAGCCATGACTTGATACAGAGGACCACATAACATCCCTCCAGTGCTGTACAATCTAATCTGTTGTCATTGGGTAACTTGATTTCCAAAAAAAAGGGAGAGAATTTCTTATATAAATGAGTTTATTATTCACAAACATGTTTCATCATTTGCTGAATTAATAGCAAATATCTGAACATTTTCTAGCCCTTATAATATTGAGATTTTTTACATAATACAAACTTGATATCTTTATTGACTATCATGAAAATTGATTAGAATACTCAATCAGGTCAAACCTAATCTATTAGATGAAACATCTGTTGTTGAATGCTTGGATTCAAATTCTAGCTGTGTCATTAAATTTTAAATGACCTCTTGATGGCCCAAGAGGATTTCTTATCTGTAAAATGAAGATGCTGATAACTACAGTACTCTTAGGAGTTAACATGTTTTTAAGGATGCCTGCCTGCTAATGCCAATGTCAGTTGAACTTTGAGTGCATTCAAATGGGGGTAAATTTCAACAAGGACCATAAAAAGACTTGACTTCAGCCTCAGTGCCTGTAGCTCAGCGGCTAGGGTGCCAGCCACATACACCAAAGCTGGCATGTTTGAATGTAGCCCAGGCCTGCCAAACAACGACAACTACAACTAAAAAATAGCCAGGTGTTGTGAGCAAGCACCTGTGGGAGGCTGAGGCAAGAGAATTTCTTAAGCCCAGGAGTTGGAGGTTGCTATAAGCTGTGATGATATAGCCCTCTACTGAGGGCAACATAGTGAGACCCTGTCTCAAAAAAAACAAAAAAACAAAAAACAAACAAAATAAAAGACTTGACTTTAGCTGTCCGTCAGCCCCAAATGGCCCCATGGGATCCATCTTTTGCTTACAACCTTCCTCTGTTCTGGGTCTCAGGAGTCCGCATTAGCTGGCCTATTGCCCATTGTTGGGCTCTGCTACAAGTGCAGGTCCTGTGGTGATTGTGGTTTCCATATGTAACCATGTGAGGAAGGTTCCAGGGGAATGAGAGCTGGTGACCGCAGTCAAAGTATGTATAGGTGTTTGCCTGCCAGCATGTCACCAAAGGCACTGTGTCTTCTGTGGAGTTCCAGTCTTCTGATTTCATTTAGTGGGCATGCAGGGGCAGGCATAGGTATAAAGATTGTGGTGGGCTGTCTGGCTGGCCAGCAGGCTGCTAGGTGCCAGCATAGGCCTCCCACACTGCCTGTCTTAGCTGCCTCTAATAGCTGGTAAAGTACAGGCCCTTTGTCCAGAGCCCCTGGCTGGCAGCCAGGGACTAGCCACTGGTGATGCCTGGCAGGCAGGATTTGTGGGAGGACTGGAGCGGGATCTTGAAGGCTTTCTGCTGTGCCACGCATTGACTTTGTGGATGCTGAAAATGGAGGATGTCTGTGGAGCACAGGGAATAGCTTTGAGTGCCCAAAAGGAGGCATCAGTAAAGGTAAGGAAGCTTGGACAGCAAATCTTTCGGTATTATAACAACTTACATGTAGCTGGGCATTGTGGCGGGTGCCTGTAATCCCAGCTCCTTGGGAGGCTGAGGCAAGAGAATTGCCTAAGCCCAGGAGTTGGAGGTTGCTGTGAACTATGTGACGACGCCACGGTACTCTACCGAGGGCAATACAGTGAGACTCTGTCTCTACAAAAAAAAAAGAAAAAGGTGTGTGTTGCCTAAAGATCAGCCCTCGTTTAAGAACATAGCACTGGCTTGATTAAGATGGAACATTTTCTCTCTCTTTCTTCTGTTCCTAAAAGGAACAGGCAATGTTCAGCTCTACTGAGCAAGAAAACAGCTCTTGTCCTTTCTCCCTTGACTATGAGGTATTTAATTATCACATGGTGGAACCTCATGAAACAAACCTGACTGCACTTTTCTCTTTTCCTTGATCTAATGACAAATATAGGTAGCAAGTAGCAAGTAAATGTAATATAAGCATAAGAATTACCAGTTGCTACTTCAAATGTGCTTCTTAAATGTCTTTGTGTGCGTGTGTGTGCGTGAGAGAGAGAGAGAGGAAAAAATCTATTAAATACCACTGTCTGCAGGTTCTCCATCACCCTAAGGATTTTTGTCTGACCTATGAAAATCCCTCACGCTACTATTAGGGTCTTGTTTTTTTTGAGATTTTGTATCATAGAATGAGGGGAAAATGCGGGGGGAGAAAGATGAGTGAGCACAGGTCAGGACTTACAAACTCAAAATCTGCAGTCTAACACCTACAGTAATGGTAATGGGTATAAGTGAATGAAGTGGACTGGGAGGGATAACGAGCACATGTGGGCATGGTGGCTGAGTGAAGGGAAAACACCCTACCTCCGGGGTACCCACTGGACCAGCTCCAGCCAACTGTTAGCACAAGGGAAGGCAGGCCCATTGTTGCCATATTGTTTCACTTTTCAAAGACCATCCAAATATGGTGTGTGTGTATGTAGTTTATTGAATCTGAAAACACCGTGCAGGCGGACAAAGCACATCTGGAAGCCACAGACCTCAACTCGGGCCTGGGGCAGAACATTTTAATGGAACTTTAAGGAGAAGTGAGAGCAGCTGAGGTGTCTTGTGATGGAAAGGCAAGAGAGAGGAAAAAGGGGGGGCTTTCTGTGTCTCGTGCTGCTTCATCACGCTCAGTGACGGACTTAGTATTTTGAAACAATTTTAGGTGGCTAAACTGAGTACTTTTGACAACATTCTCACCCTGAATTATTTGGGACACAGAACCACACAGAAGTGCCACATCATAAATGAAAAGAGGGACATCCCCCGCCCCCCATAAGCTACATGGAATGTTATTCTACATTATGAATGAGTTGTTTGTCTCTTCTAAAGGCAAGTAAATTCTTTGCCTTATAATTAATAAAAATGGTAATCAGAAATTTTATTGTGTTTCATGTTAGTAGACAAATGTCTTAATCCATTGTGGTTTAAAGACTCTTAGAGGATAAAATCAGTGTTAACTTAAAAGGCATTATTAAAGAGAAACCCTAGTGATTTTTTTTTGCTCAGTTCTAGCAAGTCTGCATTATTGGCAAAAGGAGACTGAATGGGAAGAGATGATGCCATTGATAAGAGACGTGAAAGTTAGGAAAAAACTAAACTGTTTGACGTCAGAAGGATCTTGTCTCAAATGGTCTTAGGGATGATTTTCATCTGTTAGAGGACTGCAAAGGGCCTCTTTCTCCTGCAGCACATTAGGAAGGGCTGAATGAGCTGAGTGATTCTCAAATTTTAATGTGCGATGACAAATCACCTACGGGAATGCTGTGGGTCTGGGGAGGGGGAATGATTGAGAATCTGCATTTCTAACAGGCTCTCCTGTGAAGCCTGAGCACAATTTGAGTAGCAAGGAGCTAAAAAATGAATAGAGAATAGGGGTGGGGCAATAGTGACATAGGCCTATATCTGTTTGTATGGTCTTTACAGCTTTAATTCCTCTCTCTTCTGGCAGCAATAGACTGATGTAACTTTGGAGAAAACATTTCTGTCCTCTGATTGGCTTGTGTAGCTTGGAGGAGACCCTGTCTCCCCTTACTTTCCTCCTACTCCGACCATCTGTGATAGAGATGAGTACATGAGCCAGGCCTGGCCATCAGCACAAGTAGGCAGCTGATCCATGTAGTTCAATGATACCCAGGCCTTGGATTTGGGGTAGTGCCCTGGCAAAGAGGCTTTCTTTGATAGGTTATGAAATTGGGAGCTTCTAGTGTCCATCAAGGAAGGGGAGTCTGCCTGACAATGAAGCCAACATAGAGGAAGTAGAACTAAAAGTTGGAAAAAGATTCCTGATGGTGTCTTTTGAGTGCCTAGATCCTAAACAGGCAGATACACTAGTCTAGTCAGTTACTTGAGCTAGTAAATGCGTAAGCCAATGTCAAGTTTATATCACTTGCAATAGATAACATCCTGCTAATACAGTGTTGACAAAAGATACATGAATTTCCTCATTACTTAGGTGAATTAATATAAAATCACCAAGTATAGGGCCTGACACACAGCAGAAGTTCAGCAGATACAGCCTTCATTCTCTTCATAATTTTTCTTTGGTTGGATCAAACAATGCGCACGCACACACACACACACATTATTTTTTTTCCAGATAAGAAGCCACAGTTAAACAATCTGAAACTACAACTAGCAGTTAGGTGACAAGCAATTTTATTTTGCAAAACAATCACTATACAGCAACAAATACATTTGCAAATTTGATTGAAAAACATGAACTAACTACAACCAGCCATCGAAGAAATGCCTTTCTATGGTAACAGGCTCTAGAATTATCAGAAGAAAGAAACCCCCCACAGATTTGTAACGGTGTGTTAGAACCTTGGAATCCCAGCATACAGAGTATACTTTTTGTTGATTTTTTTTTTCTTTTTGCTAAAGTTGAAGTGGATTTTTATGATTGACATTTTCTGAGTTTGAAAATAAGCTTTTTCCTGCAGAGGGACTTGGCCTCCACCTACGCACCCAGGCTAAAAATCCTGGGTGTGAAAAAACAAACATCAGTGTTGATTTTAGCACATCAGTCTTTGAAGGAATGCCTGGAATTTGCTTTCCCAACCCATGAATCTACTTTATCTTTGCTACTTAGGCCATGAATAGTTTATTTTCCTTTTTGTGGCATGAAAAATAGAAAAATTATAGTTGCAGCTATATCAGAATCGACCACAGATTCTTCCTTGAATAAAATACTGGCAAAATTATGTTAGATTTTGTCTGATTATTCCATGCCTGCTGTTTTACTATATATGTGTGTGGAGAACTGGTACATTCTTCTATTTAACACCATCCTCTCTTCAGCCTTCTGCCACGCCTAGCTGGTGTTACACAGGTGTCATGCTTGGAGGTAGGACTTTAGCCCATCACCCTGCTGGAATTCAGCAGGTGAATCCAGAGAGAGTTGGTTCCTAAATGAACATGGCCTTTGAAACTCATCATGAAGTTAGGTCTTTCCTGCATTATTGTAAGGTATCCAATTTTTGGTTGCAGGTGACCCAGAGAGTGAGTTCCCTGGAGCGGTTGGCCTTTTAACTCTTTAGAACTCTGGATTACTTATGTATCCTTAAACAGGTTCTCAAAGGCTAAAGCCAGAGAGAAACTGGCAAAAGTAGATCTAGAACTGAGACCATGGTGATTTCAATTCTAGATCAGCGTATGTGTGTCCCCACAAGAGTGGTGTTCAGAAAGCTTAATTTGAGTCATTATCTTGAGAGTGCAAGATGGGCTTTACCCCTTCTCCCCACAAGAAGACATTTAGCCTGTGCGTTTCTCTCTTTTACTGGTATAAATTATCAGTTCCTTTTGTGAATTTTATAAAAAAATCACATTTCCACACAAAGCAAGAACATTTATTAATTATAATTTTGTTGTAATTCAAAACAGACATTTGTTTTAATACCAAATCTAATAATTTAGTGCCTTCTATAATTTTTATTTTGGACAAGTGTTTGTAAGAAACCACATTTTATTAAAATTTTATTAAAAATTATTTTTATTAGGTTTACTCAGTCCTCACTTTTATTAAAAAATTTAAACAAAGGTGAAAAAAATTCTTGCTTCATAGGTTAAAACGTTTCTAACCAGCTGTTAACTTCTTTCTGGAGAACTTTAATCACTATCTAGCACTATCAAAACATGTTATCAAGTACCATAAATCTCCACACAACCATTTCTTCTCTTATTTTCTGGTGCATTTCAAAGGAAGTGGATGAATAAATTGCCCAGATTGGTCAAATCAAACTTCACAGCAATTACTAGGCAGAAAATAGACACATTCATGGTTATACTCAGTAGCTTCTAAGTTTTTGACTCTCATATCAAATAACTAATTTATAAATGGTTTAAGACCGTTTGCCTGTGTAAAATCTCTTAGCTGAGAATGAAAGGTGTGGGTTTGCTCCTAGGGTTTCTCTTGAGGCAATCGCACATTGCCAGATCCACGGGGTCACAGTATGGCAGCTGTGACTCTCTGTCTTTACATGCGTTGGCTGTTTTCTTAGATGCTCCTATACTGCCTCGTTGCCTCAGTCCATGCTCATCATTTCCTCCTTTATATTCGAGAATTGATTTGGCTCAAAGAGATCAAACACCTAGCAGACAATTTGTCTGTAATCGATCATATCTAGCTTACCAGCCCTGAGCAAGAAAAAGAACAGACAAAATACTAAAAAATGCCCAACCAGCCTGGTAGCTGTTTGCCCTATTCAGGCCATTGACTATGTCATTGCTTATTTGTAAGTCTGAGATGAATGATTTGTGAGACAAATTAAGTAATTGCCTTTCAATTTTAAGATGGTATATAAAGTCTGAACAATATCATCTACTGATAAATATACGAAGTCACACTGTGTTCCTTTAGAGAGCACAATTTTAGAGTCTTGAAAAAAAAAACTGATTTAGATATCTGTGTCTCAAATGTTTTGTAGTGATAGCTTCACAAAATGTCATTTTTTTTCTTTTGTTCAAGGGAGCTTTAGTTTGGGTAAGAAAGCCAAGTATCGTCTATTAGAGAATTTAACAAATAGATACCATTTGGAAAAAATAAGAAAACATATTTCAGATGACCACTGTTAGTTTCAACTTTAGCAAATGGAAAAAAAAAGAAGAAAAAGAAAAAAATCTTGTTGGGTTCATGAATAATTATAGGAAGAAAACCAAAACTCTTCTGTGACTAAAAATGAGATAAATTCATAATCTTGAACCAACAATCTGTAAACCCTTTCATGTATAACTGGACCCACCCCCACAAACTCCATGTTGGTGAAAGCAGAGAAAAATAATTTTTTCTAGCATTACGGGAGAGACTTGTATCTGGCACTAAAACAGGGTTACAGCTTTGAGTTGTGATAGAAAGCAACTTCATGCTAAGATTTTTTGTCTTTTTAATTTTTTTTTTTAAATAGGGAGAGAACCCTGCTAACATCTACTTTCACATATCTAAAATTTCAACACCAAAGGGTGCAGGAGACACAGATACTGTGAATAAAGAAGTATAATATTCAAGTATATGAGGAAGTATCACAAATGGCCACAGAGAAATATATATATATATATTTATATCTATAATACTGTATCAAACAGATGAAAAGGGGGTGTGAAACTGTTAGTATGGACACAAATCTAGCCAATCACCTGACATTCTAATCAGACACAAGTCCATCCTAATGAAAAGTACATCCTTCCTAAGAGACGCACTCTTATACCACTTCCTCACCACAGCTCAAATGCTTTGTAACTATTTTTTTTAATTAGTTAAATAATTTATTGGATTGACATACTCTGATATAATTATCCAGGTTCCAAATGTTAATAACTTAATCGAATCTTTCTTCCCATTTATACAAAATAACACTTTAAAAAACTTATTTCTTACATGTTCTTCCCTTCATTCAATCAGACTCCTTGATTTAGTTTAACCTGTCATAAGTTACAATGGGCAGTTTTTATTGTCTCACTCAGAAACAGAATCGTGAAAAGAGCAGCTTGGATTTTAACAAGGCCTTTCAGAATGTAGTGGATAGCCTTCAGGCACATGAAAGGTAAAAATGCAATTTTTTTTAAAAGTAATAATACTCATGCAAAACAGAGCAGAGCAAAAATAATTGTCCAATTGTACCCATGTAAAGCCAGTGTCTTCCTGTTGCAAATGGAAATCAGGTCAATTTCTGCATATACTATTCATTTTTTAAATATAAAATTGTAACAATTACTACAGTTTGGGGATGAGATTATTTATTTTATGGTTTTCAAAGAATGAGAATAACACCTGCTCAGAGCCCACTCCTGCCAAGAGCTCATGCCTAAATAGTATTACTTCAATGCTAAATGAGAGATATTCACAAGCCCTGCTTAGCAAGTGCAGCAGTGACATCCTCAGCCAAAGTGGCAAGCTGAGGAGATTCAAGCAGGTTGATGCTTCCAGAGGAAGAGACGTTGCTGAGTCGTCGGGGCGACGCCACGCTGGATCTGCCTGGGGACTGTGTGATGATCTCAGCCCCGTGGTCCACACGGGCCTTGGCATGCTCTCTGAAGTTCAACTTTTGGCTGTCAATCTGTTTAAGACAAGCATCGGTTCTCATTAACTCAAGCATCTTAACTAGCCCTAGCTCCTTCTCTACATCCCAGAGTTGAGACTAAACTGACTTCATTTCAGCTCTGTCATCCATTCTTTCTATTTGTCCAGGTCTTCAATCTGGGATCTACTTTGATAAAAAGTTATTTCAGAAGGATTCAACGAAAGAAGACAAGATTTGCCCATGTCCCTGTTTCTTACCTTGACATTGCCACCTCCAGGTACGTGGTGAGCATTATCAAGTGAACCAACTTTAGCTTGGGCCTTTTCTTTGAAATCCAGTTTTACACTCTCAATTTTTACACGTCCACCACCTGTGACAAGAGAAAGGGTTTTAAACACCTTGCTAAAATTATATCTTGCATTTAAGGTGACTATTTTCCAAAATGATTGTGATAGGTAGACAACTGCAAACTACAAATTTATTACCTCTACTGTATCTCCAACCATACGTGTAAATGGAATCTTAGAATTTCTAGACCATTTCCCTATACCATCCAAGATCACGACATTCTTTTTATACCATTCTATGGATTGTTTAACATGTTAATATCTTTTTTCTTTACCCATATCTAAGCTAAGAAATCAGGAGGGATTTTCTTTCAATAGAAACTCTAAAAAATAACAAGATAAAAAATTCTATTTGCACCCTTTTAAAAACTCGAAACATTCGTTTATTTCTACACTTGATCTTAGCCAAAAGGCTGAGGAGCAATAGCCTCTCATTTCTAAGGAAGAAAGTTAAATTGAAATGAAAACTCTTCTTTATTTTTGTTCATGGTACCATGTCATTTATCCAGAGAGAATGGAGCACATATGGGCAATAGCTTCATTTATAAGTTTTCAACATTGATGGCTTCACTGATGAAAGGAGTCGGGAGCTAAATTGTTTATAACTAGTTAGCTCTAAGAGCCTCCCATTTTAATTAGCATATTATGTGATAGGGAAGAGATTTAAGGAGATAGCTTTCTCATATAAATGCCATAGGTCTAATTTGACACTGACCTTGATCTGATAATACCGAGATTGTTTGGGCCATGCCATTTCCTCTACTGCTAACTAGTTTGAAACTGTACGATCTGGTGATTCTCAGGGTACATGCTCTGACACCCACTGTGGTCTTCCCCAGCTATCCTGTATGTCTTAGGCTTTCAAACGCAGGGAGCTCTTTTATACTGGATAAGTATTTGTTTTCTTTTAGCCTGTCCTTGACCAACCTTGAGTGTCTGCTGATGTCTTTGATCTGGAAATAAGTTAGAATAGACTTTCTCCTACCTTCCACCTAAAAACATTGCTTTCACTTTCATTGGCAACTTGGTTTTCAGCACATGCAATTTCTAGAAAGCTAGTAGTGGTTAGCAATGTGACCCTCTACTATCATTGACTCTCATTTGGGATTTTGATTTGGAAAGATGCCTGGGGCTCTATGAAAACATGAATAACATTTTCAATATTGGGATTCTTGTTGCCCATGTATCCCTGTAGGCCAAAGAGGGAGGATTGTTAAGCCTATATAGGTCTCTTACACCTTGCAGTGTTTTTCTCCTGCAATGCCTACATATCCATGCTAAAATCCAACTTCCTGGACAGGGACTTCTTAAAATTATATGGTGTTATTAGATTACATTTTTGGAGAAACATCCATTCATTCTTTTCCTGAAGGCTTAGGAAATACACAATCTTATTTAACTCATGCTTATAAGAGATACGTAGTTATCCTTCCATTATAACACACGTCATTTCACAGAGGTTTCTTCTCCTCATATTTTACCTGGTTGCATTGGTCTTACTTGTTGGTTGTGATGAGATTAGCATGATTTATAATGATTCATAAAAACATACTTATCTTGGTTAGTGGCTAGAGAACATTGGACTTTAAACTAGAAGAGATCAACTTCTTTTTTTGGTATTTTTGTATTTTGGGGTAGCCTCTGATAGAAATTGCTTTCTTAAGCTTTCCTTTCTCATTATATTATGTATGCAATTGTCAATATAATCTTGTTACTTTTTTGCTGAGCTGCCTTCTGAGGGAGAAAAGATAATAATGCAATATCAAGCCAAAATATATTCAAAAAAGGAAGCACAAGAAGTCTATTTCTTTTGAGGTCTCGCTAGACATTCTTATGTAACTGTTAGATAGGCCCATTTGAATTCAGAGATCTGTCTTTGGTTTTGAAGAACTCTAGCATCCACCAGGAGCAATAATTGCAAAAGACTATAATCTTTAGCAAGATTTATAAATGAAGTTGAGAAGAGAGGGTATTTAATTTATGCCTCTAAGTGTTGAATTATTTTCTTTATTTTCTTCTTCAATATTCCACATTTCAAAGTAACTGTGAAAAGCTTGCTCTTGTCAAGAATTGTCATACTAACGCCTCCTTATGAATTTGGTCATTTAATTTGGTAATAATAGAAGTAAAAGCTAGATTTAGAAATAGAGGGGAGTCAATAACAACAGTCTTTTATGACCAGAAAATTATACACAGAATATTTCTTTATTTATATGAGATTTTTCTGTACATTCAGATTTCAGGTGAATTGACTAACTATATCCTTACTGTCTGGAATTAATCTCCAGTATTTTTCTTTTATGTTCTACACAAAGATAGGTAGTGTGGTCAAATATTTCAGTCATACTGTTGACACTGCAGTACAAAGTCAATTAAGTGCTCATGAAGATGAGTAGTATTGGACTTCATCCCTGCTGACTTGGGAATGACAGAAAAACTAATTCCAGAGCAGCAATTATAAAACTACTAACGAAGATGCCAGGCACAGAGCTTTGACTTGTCTTACCAACACCCTTTCATAAAATGAGTCCTGATTTCCAGACATTTTCAGCGTACTTATGCATTTTAAAACTTATCTTACCTGTCTTTGGTTTTCAATCAACAAATTCTCAATAATTATTGCTCAATTTTTCTTACAGGTTGCTTTTGATAACATTTGAGACAATGATTCATGGAAATACCTAGTTCTTGGTTTATATGTTAAAATGCCAAGCACAATTGCTTTCCTTTTGTCTTTGTATAATTCAAAGGAAATTTATGTATTATGTCAACATATTTAAGAACATTACAACTCTGATAGCTATCTTTTACTACTTATCAATGGAAGTAGAATTTAACAAAAATATATAATACATGAAGCCCAGAAAAAATGACTCATATGTGTTAAATTCACATCTTAAAGGGGGGAAAAACCCATAGCGAGTATGAATGAAAAATCTACTTTATAGCATTTTTCCTAGGAGGTATTCTGAGAAAACAAAATGAGTCCTTTGTCAAGCAAGTTGGGGAAACATTGCGTTTTGCTTATTGACCTAATAAAGAATCTGAAAAATCCATTGGCTAAATAAATGTCTTCAGCTTTGCACAGCACAATGCTTATTTTATATAATGTAGAAAAAAATAAGTTTCATGGAAAACCTTATTCAGTTGATGTTATCATATGTGAGTATATGATCCAATGTATTTTATAGACTACATATTTGAAAAGAACTCTGAAAACCATGTTGAGTCCGTAAAGATTAATGCATCTTATGGACTTTTAAACTTTAACCTGTTTTATATGTGGCCTATTTGTGGTAATTGGGTTCACTTATCCCACATGAAAATGTCTTAACATTTCTAACTTCAGCTTATATTAATAAAAGCAGGAGGTATCAGGATTTTGAAACATCCTTCCAATTAGGTATTTCACAACAACACAAAAACTTTGCTTGTCGATTTCCTGACTATTGTTAAACATTTCTCAGACTTCTATAAATTCCTTACCAGGCCTGTGGCGGATGTTCTTCAGAGAGCCACATTTGGATGTCACATGGCTTAGGTCTATTTTCTTGGTAACAATTTGCACCTATGTGAACCACATAAGACATACTTAAAATAGTTTTGACATGGACAAAAAAGCCAAGTCCACACATAAAATCTAGAAATACACCCAAACTCATAACATGCAACAGTATATCCAGAAACCCAGTCTGAAGTACACACACGCACAGGAAAACATAATTTCCCATATGTTCTCCCACATGTTTGGATTGGAAAGAAGGCCCCAAGTTAAAGGAAATCCTGGAATAGAAGATTTTATTAGTAGAAAGCAGATCATGCCACAAGAGAATAGAAACACTTGCATTAATAAGGCAAGCTTCCACTCAGAGAACTAAGCCGCATTGTGTTAAGCCTTTCCATAAGCGAAGAGCTACAAAGTGAATTATTCTTTATAAAGTGATTTTTTAGATAAAAGTGACCAATGTTGCTCACAGTTCCCACAAAACCAACATTGCTTTAAGATAAAAGAAAGGTCTAAACGTGCTTTCCTGAGCTGTTATTAAACTGTCCTATCTTGGCTAGAGAAATTTTTCTTACACAGCACATTATAAAATGATAGCAACATTTTTTTCTTCTTTGGGTTTTATTGAAAAATTTTCCTGTCCCCACATAGAAGCAGTCTTCTCTAAGTGTGGTCCATTGCCATCTGCATCAGAGCACAAGGGAATGACTGAAGGAGACATATTATAATAAGGGATTCTTTTGTAGGAGAAAGTTGAAGACTATTGTTTAAAGGCTTGGGAACTCCTCTACTTTCCTTAATAATAATAATAATAATAATAATAAAAGATCTTTACTTATCCTAGTTTGTCCTTTTCCAGTGGGGTGTTTTGACCAGCAGCACCTGTGTTAGAGGCTCAGGGGATCCATTCCCTCATGCCCTCAAGGTAATTACGAGGACTGGGCTGCTTCTGTGATAGTATCACGGGGTGTGAACTCACACTCATGTAACACCAATGAACTGTAACCATGTCAGTGGAAAGACCAACCCTGAAGCTTGGTTGAGCATCCTCAAAGGAGCCCAGCAAACACTGCTATGGACTTCCCGTGACAGTAATAGCTTTATGTTCAGCGAAGCTACTTTGATTTTCCGGTGACGGGTTCTCCTAAAGGGCACTTGCTTGTTTCTCCCCTCTTCACTGCTTAACTCCACTTCTCCCAGTGGATGAGAAAGTAGCCATGATTATTAGACAAGATAGGATTTTAGATTTGATACCTGTAAGTTATCTAAGTCATAAATTATCAGAACCCGAGGTTTAGGTAACAGGATCTGTAGACCAGAGAGTCAACCTAATACATTTTTTGAAAATTATTTGTGTTGGATGAAGAACCTGCTTCCTTTAGCTTGAGCTTGCCTGCCCATTTCAATTCTGCCTCAAACTTGAGAGACACGGATTCATCTTTCCCTTTCTCTCAGAGGGTATTATTTACACTAAATGAAAGATACAGGGAAAAAATCCCATCAAGATAAAGGGTGTACTGGGACTTGAATCTTTTTCCTTTGAATTATAGATGAATCATGCTTCACCAGTTTTGCGTTACTCTAAATGATATCCCAACTTTCATGAATAATGAACCACTGAAGATTGATATCACACACTTTGGGTACTTACAAGTATATCAATTCTTCCTCAAGGGTAAGCTAAATGGAGCTGGACAAGTGTGTGCCCAGCTGACTTTCACTGGGGAGTAGAGACAGCATGAGGCAGTCACTTCAAGACAAAAGGGCTGGCAAACAAAGATGGCAAGTGAAGTGGATTTGCCATCCTCCAGAAAACCATGGTGCACCTCATGGTTTTCTTTTCCAATTGAAAGTGAGAAATTTGCTAATGATCTACAGGGAAGGATGAGAAGCCCATCACTGAAAATGCAAGCCTGACAAGCCACCGTACCAGGGGGACAAGTGGAACAGCAGTGTGAGGCAGGAGCGTGTTGAGAAGGAGGCAGGGAAAGAGACAGGGGGCTGGCTGTGCAGGTGGCTCCACATAATCAGGACAGCTTTCTGGTAGAAGCATCTACTTACATTTCCGCCCCCAGCAGAATGTTTGATGTTATCCTTGGAACCACATCTGGACTGAACTTTGCTAAAATCGATCTTCTTGTTTAAAATTTTAACCTAAAAGGAATTGGAGGTAACTTCACTGTGCATTTTTCTTTCAAGATGCTGGGTACAGGGACCTAAAATGGGTAGCACCAAGGAGGCTCCAGACTCCCTTCCACCTACATATTTGTTTAAGAGAAAAACACTGGATCCGAAGAGCAGTTCTATTATGTAAATATGAGCCCTGATTCTTCTACTCTCTCAAGACCCAAGTGCTACTGAGCCTTTGGTATCCCAAGTGGTATCTACATGTGATCAGAAAACACATGGGAGTAACTAAAAAAACTCTAATCATTTGTGATAGGGAGGCTGCCAAGGTTGGGGGCAACACTGGGACTCAGGTCCACTCTAAAGTTTGACAGTAGTTAATACTAAACCTTGTTCAGCACAGGATCCTAAAAGACATCCCAGCCCCACCACCACCAAACACCACAGTTCAGCTGTCACAAGTATTAATCTCCTTGTATACTTGACTTGAATGGCTAATGGTCTACATAGCACAAGTGAGGTTCACAAGTGGTCTGGCTGAATGTTGTAGGTCACAGTGATCTTCTGAAGGCCCCTTAATGGCAACTGCTCAAGTGCCATCATTACCTAAAGCATTTTTTCCATCTTTAGAAGAAAATTAAAGCCTCTTGGTTAGATGACTTGTTCTAGGTCATATACACATGGCTTTGATTGGATCTAGTAGATTTAAGTTTATATGTTTTATTTTCTAGTCTCACAAAGTCAACCATTCATCTTGAAGGCAATAGTAAATCCAGATCTGGAGAGACTTAACTCCGGCGTAAAATAATTTACAAATTCGTAACACTTGTGACTTTTTCCATGTCTTTTGAGCCTTGCATGTTTGGGTGGACAGATAAGCAATGTGAGCATGGAAAGAAAGGTTGTTTTTGCTTCTATTGCTGTGTTGGCCATTTGCTTGTTTTGTTTTCCTGCGGCTACTACTACTCTTCGTCTCTCCCTGCCTCCACAATTGCTATCCTCTATATTTTGCCAGACTATGTTACAGTCTATACTTTAAAGGACTGTGTACATTTTCAAATTTATCACCAGGCTTTCTGCATGTTATTAATATCTCTCTTGAGAATGCCCCCATTCCAAGTTTTGAGTCTGTAACTGATCATTCTTCAACCAATCAATATTCCCAGTGGCAGGCTGGCAAGAAGAATTTTATTCTCAAGGGTATTAGGTAAACAATGGAGATTTACTTGCAAAAACAGTTGAATTTTCATTTGCATAAAAGCCATATAGCCTGAAGTTGCATAACTATAGGTTAATATCATTGAAAACTATTCAGAATTATTTTATTTTAAAGAATTCTATTTATCCTTCCACTGCAATAGAGAAGAACATTATAGTTACTTTCTGGCTATTCCCTGTGTAACTCTAGTTGGATTTTATCATAACGGACTAAATGAAATGATCTGCCACTCTACTCTCTCTCCATATATGTTTAATTTTCCTTTAGAGAAATTAATGCTTTTTTCTCTAAAACATGGTTCCTTTAGGAAAGGATAGAAAGATAACATGTAGGTTATGCCTGCAGACAAGAAGTCACTCTTGCCAGTCAGTTGGAAATATGAAACATGTAAAATGAAAGAAAATACATTCCTACCATACAGTTTTTAGGAAAATGATTTACAAGTCAGAGGCATCATCTTGATGTCAACTTGACTTATTTAGGCAATGGGATTTTGATTTCTTAAAATCTGACATTCTTTGATGCTTCTTTCTTTATCAAAAGGCCAACATGTCAACTCAAGGTATAGAGATATAGAAGTAATTAGGATCCCAAAAGTTGGGCTTCTCTCCATTAATATGGTATACAACATTCGTTCAGCTTTCATGGATAAGTATTTATTGAGCACCTACAATACCTGGGACCCTGAGGACAAGATGGACCTTGTCCCTGATTCCACAGAGCTTATGGTCTAGTAGTTGAGATATGACAGACATTAAATTATACAACGGAAAGTTTAATGACAAATGGGGTGAGAGGGCTGGCTACAGAATAGAGAGTAGAACATGTGTAGCAAAGAACAGACACAGGGAGACAAGTTAACTGACTATGGCAGTGATGTCAACAAGAGATAATGTGTCTTATACTATAGTAGTACAGAAGAGACTGAGAGATATGGGCAGATGTGAGAGCTATTCAGAACACTTAAAGATAGCCAGGATATGAAATGAGAGAAAGGGAGATGAGTAAATGAATACAAAAGTTTGAGTTTCTGGAATTATTAAAGATATAGACAACTCTTGATTATTTTAACATGCCAAGGCTGAAACTAGAATTAATATCTTATACCATATCCTTTAAATTATTTATAGAAATTAAAAAATCAGTTAACTAGAGTCTATTTTAAAACCTTAACTTTTAGAATTTTTTAAAATAACCTGTCAGTTGCAGAAAAAGCATATGATAAAAATGCAATATGACATTGCATTATTTGACACAGTATTATTAGCAAAATATGTTTTTAATAGTGTATCATATATCATATTATTTGCATTAAATTATTTTATAAAAAATATTATAAAAGTTCAGAACTTCTACATTTCAACCCTGATGTGTTGGTGTAGAAGGCATTGTTAAATACAATTAGCATTTTCATATTATATAACAGAAGTTGAAGCAAACAAGAAACATTAAGGTATAAAAAATTACATGCTTTGCAGATAAGTGACTATTACTTTTTTCTTTAAATTTTTTTGACTAGTTATTATTATTATTATTATTTTGGCTGGGGCTACGTTTGATCCTGCCACATCCAGCATATAGGGCTGGTGCCCTACTCCTTTGAGCCACAGGTGCCGTGCAAGACTAATTTTTGTTTTAATACAAGTTACAGACTCTGACTTTATAGCTTAGCCATTAAAAGATGATATTAAAAGTTCTACATAGAAAGTGTGGGTAATATGAAATTTGTTTACTATTCTGTGAAAATGTGAAGGGTGGACCAGAAAGAGATGACTATCTCTGACCTTCAATGACCTTTAATTCAATGGATCTGTATGGAACTGATCCACAGAAGCTAGATGGCTTTATTTCTAGATTATGATGACGTGCTCCTAGTCTAATGGATTTCTCCAAATACATTGTTTTAAAAAGATACTAGGGCAACACTGTCAGGGAAAGTAATACAGTGACAAGTTCTATAAGCTTCTTTATATAAAGGATGAGTTCTCCCTTTAAACAGGAATGAATTGTTTGAAGATGCCACCATCTTTAGCCTCTCTGACTTGAAAACGCCTGACATGAATGAAGCAAAACCACATAATTCATAAGACAGTCAATCAAATCCACATGATCTAAGTAACCTCTCTATCCAAGAAGTAAATGAAAACAACCTTTGTGGAACCATTTCATTAGTAACTCTCCACTATTACAAGAGCATTTAACTTGTGCTTTTCAAACTGATCTTCATAAGGCCAAAGGATAAAAAAATGAGAAATCTATCAAAACATGTAGTAGTATTCCATGTACATCAGATTACCTGCAAAAAAATCCTGATTCATAGATAGAAAAGGCAAAAATCACCGTTCAATAAGTTATTGCTTACATTTTTTATGCTACATATTTAGAGAAATTGTTTATTTTCTTATCTCTGTTTAATTCAGGAAGCCATGTTCTTATAGAACTAACATTATTTATTCCAAAATTTAGATTTAATGTAGATTGGAGAGCTAACTACATAGGGTAGCTTCTACTTAAAGCATGTAATAAAGTTTTACCCATGCCTCAGGTTAAACAAACCAAGATCATTATCTATAGTGAGTCTGAGATTGCATATATTCTTTCTAGTAGAATGAATTTGTATTTTTGCTGGAGAGATTCACTTGCTTTCTGTAAAACTACTCATATCTTCACCTATTGTCTGTATTCCATTAGGCATTGATTTGCCTTGCTGAACTGAACAGCTGAGCTGAGCCTGACAACAGAAACCTGGACTTTAACAGAAGGCGTAATAGCTATAAGCACAAAAACCATATGTGTAGAAGAGCAATAAATGTTCAAAGGGGGCAAGAAATAAAGGTCTCCAACAAGGGGAGTTATTTAGGTCCCAAAACATGTAAGTAAACAACAACAAAAAAGATTTCAAAATTAATTTTTTTTTTTAAATTTTGAGATAGGGTCTCACTCCATTGCCCTGGGTAGAGTGCTATGGAATCATCACTTCACAGCAACCTCAAACTCTTGGGCTAATGTGATCCTCATGCCTAAGCCTCCTGAGCAGCTGGGACTACAGGTGTACACCACCACGCTCAGCTAGTTTTTCTACTTTTGACAGAGACAGAGTCTCACACTTGCTCAGGCCGGTCTAGAACTCCTGACCTCAAGCAATCTACTCACCTTGGCCTCCTAGAGTGCTATGACTATAAGCATAAGCCATTGGGCTGGACCTTAAAATTAAATCATTTACATACAACCTAACCACTTCAAATTTTATCACAATAGAGCCTGTGCCAATGATCCAAATTAACATTATATCTTCAAATTTACTCCTCTCTTCACCAATTAAGAATTGTATGAATATTTTGCTCTCTGTACTTAGAGATCACATGTCGCTACTGCAAAATCTAACAGTGATCCTGGGTTGGCCACTACCCATTCAAATATCCTAGGCAATCAATTTACAATTGGGTTAGTCAATTCAATTTTTTTTTAACTGTGTGCATTTATAGGCACTCAATCGAATAATAAAGGATTTTAACATATCATTTTCAGAATTTATAAGAAGCCCTAACAGAAAATTTTTTCCCATCATTCCACAAAGTGGGAATTCCTCCGTGTATCTGATCCTGCTCTGTAAGGAAGCTTTCTTAAGGGGACACTGCTGAAGTGCTGAGTGATACATTTTCCTGCAAAGACAGTTCAATTGCAATACATACCAATTTTCCAATTCATTTTACCCTCCAATTTCAGTGCATTTCTGCTATCTACCACAAAATGGAAGGCAAATCTCCTCCATCTGTTTCTTATCTTGGTGAGGAAACATCTCTTTCTAGTGCAAAAAAGTTACTTCATAACTCCACTGGTAGGGACTTTTTCCAAGTCATCTGATGCTGAGATAGAATAATTTTGCAACAAGTTAACACTTGCCTGATGAAAAAATAGATTTTCTTCAAAAGATACTGTGATTTTACGGCTATTTTTGTTCTTTCTGTAATTTTTGTGTCATATGTCTTTACTAGTCCTTAACTATCATAATCTCTAGGGAAGGTTTAGTTCAGCTTAAAAGAATAAGCTACTTTTATACCAATTTTATGAATTGCCAAATGTAGTAAAAGTCAATTGAAATCAGGCATAAAAATATAACTAGATATGATAAAGACAGAGAAAGAAAATAGATATCTTCACATTTATGGATCGATCTAATCTAGAGATTCCTGCAAAGCTGAGGCTAAAACCACTCTTTCTGCTTCTCTACCTTAATGAGTCTCCTGAACAAAATCACATATTGTTAAATTTTGATGTCAAATTATAACAACCTTTCCCTTATTACATTTTCTTTTTAGTTTTAATAAAAAATCTTGGATATAACTTTTATTTCCTTGTGATTCTAATAAGAAACAGATTCTTTTAAGTATTAATATTTTCGAGAATATAATCAAGTAAACCCACATTTAGTTAAGGAGGATATTAGGACATGGGGACGTTTATAAAAATAATTTATTTTAAATAGATAACCTAGTTACTCTGTTTCAAGGAGTTCTCATCACAAGCTAAAATGAAGAAGTTTTCAATTGCTACTAACTTAATTTTATTCAACTTACAGTTATAATTACGTGCATTTATGTTTTAATATAAACATAAGAACAATGCAATAGTTGGGTATTTTCAAAAGACTGCAAGAATAGTTTGAGTCTTGTGGAGTTTAGTTTAAAGCTCAAATTTGGTAGAATTTTGATTTTTTTTTTTCTCATCTGCTTAAAAACATTTCATTCATGAAGTTAAAAAAAAGTTTCTCAAAGCTCATGTCTTTTGTAACATCTTTCTATAAAAACATCTCAGGCAGGGTGGTGCCTGTGGCTCAAGGAATAGGGCACCAACCCCATATGCTGAGGGTGGCGGGTTCAAACCCAGCCCCAGCCAAAAAAACTGCAAAAAAAAAAAAAAAATAGAGTGTAAGACAAAAATTGTTATTACAAAAACATCTCAGGCTATATTATCATAGGACATTATAGTACTTGTTTTGAAAAGGGCACATCCATCTCCCCTCTCCTGCCCCATTGGTTATGTTTTTTAATTCTTTGGGCTTTCTTGACCAGAATCATGAGGTAGCAGAGAAGTTTGTTGCTGAAGGAAGGAGCAACACTGATTTTTGTTTGAACGGTGAGTAGGAGTGCTTTGTAGGTTCACATTTTGGCAAGATCTTTATTCTAAACCTGCCTGAAAATAGATTTTCTTTGGCACAAAGGAAGAATACCACAATTCAGTGGTAGAAACTATGAGAAAAGGAGAGTGGCAGGAAAAACGTCGAGGTTACAAAGGAAAGGCTTTTGTGGAACACTGAAAGGGCATTACACGTTTGCTCACGTAAAAAGTTATCACCTTCATCCTTTTTTCTTTCAAGAATGGATGTATTCTTTTATTTCTTCAATGACAGAAGTTTTGAACTATTGTATAAGTGGTTCAGTATTATAAGGAAAATGCTAAATAATACTTGTATAATTTCCTTCCAGCCTAATTGCTTTGTCTAAAGATATAGCGTAAAAGCAAGGTTCAGGTTAAAATAGATCTCAAGGACCCCTGCTTGGAAAAGACACGAATGTTTGCCCAGGAGTTGAAGTTATAAGTTAATAAATGCAATCAGGTGACGAGTACATTAAGCACTCACCCTTTACCACTAAAAATCATCCATGTACATAAAAACTGCTTGCACCTCTTAATCTATTGAAATAAAAAAATTTCATAAGTTTTACTAACAACTCTATTCAATACAATTAATCATAAGTACAAGTTTGAATGCTACAATTCTACTCATCAGAACCTATAGAATGTCTATTACCAATAGCAATACCTGCCCTTAGGAATGTTTGGTCAATAGTTGCCAAAAGAGAAACTTGGTGAACCATTTTCATATTTTGGAGTGAACATGAAAAAATAGTATAAAGCATCACAGGAATTCCTTGGGAAGGAGATGAAATCATAATCACTAAAAGACAGCCAAATGAGATAATGGTCAGAATATAAAATAGAAAAATCAAATTTATACCAGAAATGTAAGTTTAAAATCCACAAAGCATTAGAGAGACAGCCAAAAAACACCTGTAAGTCAATCAACTAAAGGTTTCTCCTCTATGGTTAAATCAAATATTTTTCTCATGATAACCACAAGGAATGGACATATAATGCTATTTTCATTGTATTTTAATAGGCTAGCTTCCAATAGGCCCCAGTTCTTAGCAATAAATTGAGAACAGTAACTCTTTAACACCTCTACCTCCTTTTTAAGAACCAATAGCTTATAACATGAGGAAGGCAATGTTAATGAGACTATTTCTGGCAGCAAATATGTGCTCATGTGATTCTTACCTGTCCCCCCTTTGGCTGGTATTTGATGTTGTCTGTCGATCCGATTTTGGATTTGACGTTCTTCAGATCTGGCAGTGGCTGGTTAATGAGCCGGAGCTGCTTGGGAGTAGCAGGAGATTTGGGAGGAGTGCGTATGATGGCGACTTTCTTCTCAGTGGGCACCAAGATGGCAGATTTGGGGGTTCCTGGTGTGTGAGGGGTCCTGGGATAACTAGGGGTTCCAGGAGTGCCTGGTGTGCGTGAAGAATAACTTGGCGGGGTGCCAGGAGTGATGGCTGTGGATCCAGGGGTCGTGGGCGTCGAGGTGCCACTTTTTCCTGCTCTGCGAATTGGCTCTGACCCTATATTAACAAACATGGTGAAAATCAAACCAGAGCATCCAAAGGTTTTCCTCACAATATCCTTCTTCCCATAGATGGTTGGAACTCATATTATGTTTAATTTCTAAAGCATTTAGAAATATCTACAAATTCTCATAGTAATGCTAAAAAGGCAAGAGTCTCTTTTCTTTAGGCTCATAACCTAAAGACATCCTTTTGAACATGGATTGTCATCAGTACAAAAATATAACCTGATTTATTCTCTTTAATTCTCATTATTTGTGTGTCACAAATTATTGCTCCATTGTGTGACCATTAAGGCATATGGACCTGCCTTTTACTTTGAAAAAGAGTCTGCACTTGACATTGTAGGTGGACCCTTATTTAATGAAGATTTCTTGAGTGATATCTAGATCATTCATACCACTGTGTAGTAAATTCATTCTGAGATCCAGGTAAACATACAATATAAAACCATTGTTTGGATCACATGGTTTTGATCACGTAGAAAGGTATTTATGGAATCATCATGTTTCAATATTACTCCCTCAGCTTATTATTTAGGAAAAATGTGAGGTGCATATGAGTTTACTAAAAGCTGCCAGACATTATTCTATCATGTATTCCCCTTAGAGGGAAACTTATATCAATGCTTTAAAAGTAAGTCTAGTTCTTTAGAATATTGGGATGTTCTAACAATATAAAATTCCTTGGGAACGTCGTGCCTGATGGTGCTTTCATCACTAGTGTGGCAGTCTGAAGTTAAATTCCTAATCCTGCATCATTAATTCTTCAACATTTTCTACGATGTATTTCTTTGCCTCAAGTTAAGCTCAACCTCATTTGATTAATTTAGCCCCTATTTATCGATACGATGTTTCTCTCATAATATCTTTTTGAATGTTCTTGAATGCCATGTCAAAGACTTTTCTGAAAGAATTACAAAAATAAGAAAGCAACACAGATTTCCAAGCACTCTGTAAATACCAAACAATTGCTAACCAACCAAAGATGCACAACACAGAAGTTAGGGGCAGCGCTTTTTGTTCCCAATTCAGAATTGAGAACCTTGAGACTCCTCTACACAGATGCTGCTGAATTCTAAGCCAGAGAATTAACATCTAAGAATTTACCTTTTTTAAAGCACTCACATGTCATCTATAACTTATGTTTTGTGGGAAAGGCATACTTTTTGTCTTTTACTGTTGAATATGTATACTTTGTAAAATCAATGGGTCTTCTGAAATTACGGAGAGAATAAATGAACATATAATTCAATTTTAAAACATCAAGTGAAAGGAATCTTAGAGGTCACCTAATGCAATTGATCATTAGTACAGGAAGTTCTTTTTGAGAAGGGAACATTGAGTCTTTGCTTAAGTGTTTACAAGGAGTGAGCTCAAGAGACTTTATGTAATTGTGACTAGAGACACTGTCAATCTACCCATCAGTTTAAGTTAATCTTCTGGAGAAACAAAACAGCTTCAGTGGTTCTTTCAGTGAACAGTTTTCATGTATCCAGTAAAGGTACCCTGTTTCATTTTGGTCTTTAAACATAATAAGGTCATAGTTAGACTTTTCAACTGATACATGAAATGAGATATGAGAAGACTAAAGTGGTAAATTAGTGTGGATTCTGTGATTCTCGTTGCTTTCCACAAAAACGACATTTCAAGACCAGCATGAACCAACCACAGCCATGGCTTGGCTTTTTGTAGCTTCCTTACCCCTACTTTGTTTATGAGATAATTTTTTTTTTTATTAAATCATAGCTATGCACATTAATGCAGTCATGGGGTACAGTGTGCTGGTTTTATATACAACTTGAAATATTTTCATCAAACTGGTTAACATAGCCTTCATAATAGTTATTGTGTTAAGACATTTATATTCTACATTTAGAAAGTTTCACATGTACCCTTGTAAGATGCACCGTAGTTGTGGTCCCACCAGCCAATCACCTTCCCTCCACCCATCCTCCCCCCTCCCCTCCACTCCCTTTCCCCTTTCCCCGCATTCTTGGGCTATAATTGGTTTCCTAGTAGGGCTCAGTACATTGGATATATTGGCTAAATTTTTAAAGTAGGCTTGAGTCTGTCACTACATTCTTCTGAAAACTTTCTCCAGAAACCTTATTTCTTTCTCAAATCTTTTTTTTCCCCTAGGATTTTATCAGTTATGAATATCTCAGACAGTACGGGAGAGGAATATTCTCCGTACTACTCCGTAGTATTTTCCATTGTACTTAGCCCTGAAAACTTTCACAGAGGCTGAACACAGCAGTGCTCGTATGTTTTTTAATGGAATGTATTCGATTTAGAATTCATCAAAGTGTGCTAAGGTGTTTTCACTCTATGGAGACTGATCTGAAGTAATATTCTGGATATGGATAACTATTTTATTAGAATAATTTTTTTAAAAAATAAGAATAATTTCTGGTAGAAAATGGCTTTAAGCTTCATAAAAGTAAAGAGATAAGGTTTTGTTTTACATGTGGAGAAAGGATAAACTACAAGTATGAAGGCCTTTCCCACAGCTGCTGTTCAATATACATCATCACTTTTTATTATAATAAATATGCTCTAGCCATCAAAATGGTAAGTTTGAGTGTTCCCTATTCTGAAATTAAACCTATAAGATATCAAAGCAATTTTTAAGGCACTTTATTAAACTGTGCTCTTGTTATGTTGTCAGCTCCTCAGTGACAATGTCTTTCCCTCTGGGGCCAGATGAGCTTCCCGCATGCCACTGTAACCTCTGAGTCCTTTCAATGGCTGCATGGAATGTTAGAATATTCCTGTGTGTAGTTGAGGAGCAGGCAGGTGAATGAAAGTAGGCAAGTTGCTTGTTCTTTCAATTGTGTTTTAGCTTTTGGCATGCGGAGATAAAATAAAACCTATGTCCTTAAATTATCAGAGTATCAGTTAAGCTCATTAGCAAATAATGCGTTGCATATGCCTGGGAACGCAAGAAAATTTAAAAAGTCAAAATAGAATAGCTGCAGTAGCTCGGAAAAAGCCGTTTGTAAGCAGATACATTTTAAAAGGCAGATGAACACAGTGGCCTGAATAAGTGGATTTATGGAGAACATGCCATTTTGTTTCCATAACAACAAACACAAGTGTAATGAGGGATGATCCTTTGGGAGCACTTGGGGTCTTTGTCATGCCCAGTTCCAATTCCAGGTATTCAGAGTTAAAGTCTCTTCCCTGGAGATTCCTAACTGCTAACTGCCCTCCCAGCTAATTCCTTTGATTGTTTTAGCGATGGTTAAAAAAGTTTAAGTGATTTCAGAAGGTTCCTAGCACATATTTCAAGGGACACTAACAGTATTGGTCGCAATTTGAAATTCCAATAGACTTTCATTGTAGGCAAAAACACTTTGGGCATCACATAACAAAGTCACAATTTATTATTGAGTATCTGAATAAATATTGCTAAATATTTAAAAATATAAGTGGTGAAATCAACTTAAATGTGACAGTGGTGGCAATTTTTACCATTTTATAACAGTTTTTTAAATGACAGAGATGCTGTTCTCCAAGTGATTCTCTGGACCAGTTCTCTTGCAGTCTTTTTCCCAATTAAATGTAGAATAGACATTAAAAGGACAAGGTGCGAAGTCATCAGTGGGCTGAAAACCAAATCCAATGCCTCACTAGCTATGTGGCATTCAGCCAGTTATCTTCTCTCAAAGGTCAGTTTTCTTACTAATAGGTTGAACTGAGGTTGTTAATACTAATCAGTGGCACTGTTAATCAAATTTAGTGAAAAATGTGTCTTAGATGTTAGCACCTATATGTACTCAATAAATGGTAGCTACTTTTGTTGAACGGGCATAGAAAAATACTTATGGAAAGAATTTGGGTTCACACTTTACTGGACAGTCATAGCAGTAATGGACATAAAGTGTGTAACGACTAGAGCGTTACATAAACTGTAATAATCACCAGTCTGGTCAATAACAGACCATCAATGAAAGAAATGAGGTCATCGCATAGAGCATGCTATTGGAATGCAAATTCTTAATTGAGCAGGATCATAGGTTTTGACTGTTGACCTGGCTTATATAGACGCTTATATAGATGTATAGCTTAAAAATATCTGACTATTGATTTTCTCTGCAGTCTGGATTTTCTGATTCTTAGGACAAATATCTGTTCTTCATGCATATTTTATTTAAAAATTAAGTCTACAAATATGTATCATATATAGATAGTACATAAATAGCTTGATTACACTTGAAGGATTTTAAAAAAATAATCCTTAAAAAGAAAACCAAACCAAAATAAACCTACTAGTGGTCCTCCGTGCTGAGGAGGAGATGGAACTGTTGAGAGAGAAGGAATTCTCATCTCTGTCTCCTGATACACCTCGGCGAGGAGGAAGAATGGACGAAGGTCTCGGGAGAGAAGAGCGTTTCTCTGGGCTCTTGGTTACTCCATCCTGATTGGGGAAAACAAAAGAACTTTGAGTTCTTGTGACTCTTTATTATAATTACATGAAATGATTACATGGCTCTAGCTCAGTGGTTCTCAATCTTCCTAATGCCGCGACCCTTTAATACAGTTCCTCATGTTGTGCCCCAGCCATAAAATTATTTTCGTTGCTATAGCAAGGATGGGGTACTTGGAAACAATAATTTTATGGTTGGGGGTCACCACAACATGAGGAGCTGTATTAAAGGGTTGTGGCATTAGGAGGGTTGAGAACTACTGCTCTAGCTAATTTTCCTCCTGTGCTAATAGATGAATTTCTTTTAATACACATTACCGAATTTCATAAACAGAAAAGCATTTATAGTTTAACACTTGGAGTTCATATCAGCCTAGAGATTTTATATAAATATGTTATTTTGGAATGAGTCATCTTGATAATTAATTGTGAAGTTCAAGTTCTAAATGATAATAGGAGTAAAGTGAATTTACTCAAGCAAAATCTCCAGCAAATTACTAATTTGACTGAGAAATCTTCACTAGCAGGAAAATTTACTCCTCAGAAAAGACTGATAATAGCTCAATGCACACATAGTATTCCTAACAATGAACAACTTCTACATATTCTGCATTTATGTGACAGGGACTTTATCCACTTTATACCCAGTATAATTTCATTCTCACCACAAAATATTATGCATATATTCAAACTGAGGAAACAGTCTTAATGAGCTTATGTAGTTTTTTCAAGATCACTGAGTTTATAGATGGCAGAGGTAGTTTTAAACCATGATGTGTCTAATGTTGATTCTAAATCGCTTTTATATAGTATTGTACAGAATATAATCTTTTATTACACTGTAAAATATTAAATATATCATATGTAACAGAATATATTTTGTTCTGTTTATATTTGATATTTTATAAGATAGTCAAAGAATAAATTAATAAGGTTAGTATATCTAGAAAAAGACATTTTTTCTTTTTTAACGAGGCAGACTATTTATCAAAGCTTTTCATTTGTATTTCTTTTCAATAGGATCTGTTTTTTATAGACTTTAGAATTGAAAGTCATACATTTCCTGAATCGTGTCCTCTAACCGTCTCCCCATTTATAATCCTTTCTGCACCTTTTAATCGACCCGCTGCCTTACCTTGTTCCCTGATTCTGAGTGTGGCAAACGGTCTGTGGAGCCTGCCGAAGTGGGCTGTACTAAAAAACTGTCAGAAAATGGAGCCCTTTTAGTCGTGCTAGGGAAGGCTGAGTTGTGTCTTGGGGACTTTGTGCTACCCTGTAAAGCAGGAATCTTTGACAAAGTAGAATTCTAGCCATGGAAGAAAACAAACAAAAGCACAAAATAAACCAAACTATGAAGTAAAAGGAAAATAAAAAAGAAGTACAAACATAAAAGAAATTAAATGTCTCTCCTTACTAAAAACACATGATAAATGTTTATAATCAACAACAGACATGTATCTATGGGGAGAACAACAGATTTTCATTTAACAACCGTTTGAGC